GCTGAAATGTCATTTCTTTTGGATGAATACTGTTTTAACTTGATTTTTTTTTTTTTAGCCTATTACTGTATGCGGCCTTGAACTGAGCTGAGTTGGAAATGGGTCTCGTGAGATTATAAATCAATAAAGATAATTAGATGGCGCAGGCAGTGAGCGTGGATCATTGTCCTTTAAGGGGTCAGGCCTTCTCAGGTCACCAAGGGGATGCTGTACATTTCTACTTATTTATTTAGAAAATATGCATGTCGCCTCTCCAGAACCGCTTGTGGCTGATCACAACAAAAGGAAACCAAAAAGGCAACCCAAAAAACCATACTAATATCTAGTTTGGTGGAGTGGTTAAGTGTGCGGACTCTAATTTGGGAGAACCAGGTTTGATTCCCCACTCCTCCACTTGCACCTGCTGATGTGACCTTGGGTCAGTCACAAGCTCTGGCACAGCTGTCCTTGAAAAAGAGCAGTTTGTGTCAGAGCTCTCTCAGCCCCACCCACCTCACAGGGTGTCTGTTGTGGGGAGGGGAAGGGAAAGGAGTTTGTAAGCCGCTCTGAGACTCCAAGTGAAGGGCGGGGTATAAATCCAATCTCCTCTTCCTCTTCTTAAATTGTTTAAGAGAAACACTCAAAATGGAGCTGTTCAAAAGGATCTTGAAAACAGTCCTCAGGTGGGTAGCCCTGTTGGTTTGAAGCAGCAGAACACTGGACTCCAACTCAGTCCTCAGGCTAGGTTTAGTAAAATCATCAGAACCAGAGCATAAAAACAAGGCAACCCCCCCCAACAGCATTAAAAAATGCACTCCTATTGCATGAAAGGAAGAGGCAGAGAAGCTGTAAAGGATGTTGTCGTCTCTATAGGGCAGGCTTGCCAACCTCCAGGTGGCGGGTGGAGATCTCCCGCTATTACAACTGATGTTCAGGTGACAGAGATCAGTTCACCTGGAGACAATGGCCGCTTTGGAAGGTGGGCTCCATGGCACTGTACCCCACTGAAGTCCCTCCCCTCCCCAAACCCCGCCCTCATCAGGCTCCACCCCCAAAACCTACAAGTATTTCCCAACCTGGAGCTGGCAAACCCTACCATGGGAGGATTTCACTGTGCTGCAGAAGTGCGCTGGATCCCCCCGTCCTGGGCCATCTCTGTCTCCTTCATAGCAGGCAGACTTTCAGGAGGCAGGAGGAGGGCATCCTGGGCAGTCAGGAACGGATAACGAGAGATTCGTCTGGGAGATTCACCCGTCCCCTTCGGCCGCCATCTTCTGCCAGTGGGCGAAGACCCTTTTTTTCTTTTGCTTGGTATTCCCTTAGCATTCTTGCCCATTGTTATTTTCCAGTCGTTTTTATGTCTTTGTAATTTTCTTTTTTTTTAGCTCTGGTTTTAATGATGTTTTGGTGCTTTTTTTGGTTGGTTTTAAAATGTGAGTTTACTTGTTAGTTATTTAAACGTTTATACCTCGCCTTTCCTTGTGGTTCAAGCTGGTGCGTTTGTTAGCTGCCCTGATGGCCCTTGCGCGTCCAGAATCGCAGGGTAGAAATGCCGCAAAACAAACAAAATAAATGAGTAACAATGGGTTCAACCTCAATCTCCCTTTCTGAATGAACCCCTTCTGGTTCCAGATCAGCTGTGTCTTGAAGGCACAGAGAAGGGGAATGGGGGTGGGGGACCCTTGCCCTCTGGAGTATTGAGGCAGCCCCTTCAAGGGAGAACAAGCCTGCTTCCTAGAGTGCAATTTGTCTTTGTGCTTATCCTTGGATGTTGTGGTTTTCGTTGGAGGCTCTGGTTGGGGGCTGAGTCGGAATCAATGAGGTGGAGCCAGGGTAGGATTTAACTGACAGTCAGCAAGAGCAGGAGGCTGCTTACCTGCGTTTTAAGCGTCTGTCACTGCTTACAATTTCTCCCAAAGAGTCACGGAGAGGCGAAACCTTGGAGAAATGATTTGCAAGCAAGGCATGCGCCTGTGTTGTGAGACTCGCCCAGGCAGTGGGAGCGGTGTCCATTTGGGCCATTTTAGCAAGACATACCACAGGTTTCCTAAATAAGGCTGTCTGGGCCAATTAGGCCGACAATGACAAAAGTATGACAGTTTGCTGTTACATTTTATGGAAAGTGTCATTGTGACGCCAGCAGAGAAAACAATGGGTGGAGAGCTGGAAGAACCTTCCTCTATGGTAGTAAAGAAAGACCCGAGGAGACGGCGGCTCACCTCTTCCCTCTCACTTGGACCACTTTGGTGGGGAAAGCCTTCCGGGGTGGGGGACGCCGTCTCTGGAATATCCTCCGTGGGAATATATACAATTCCCAGTGAATCATAGTTGCTTGTTTGGCTAGGAGTCTGAAAACGTTACGCTGAAAGGCGCCTTGTAGAGGGATGTGCACTGGCATCAAAACCCGAAGTGTGAAAGTTTGCATCCACCATTTTTAAAAAAAGAAAAAGAAATTAGAATTCCATTAGGATAGTTCCAGAGGGTAGCTGTGTCGGTCTGCGGTAGAACAGCTCGGTTCGGGTCCAGCGGCACCTTAGAGACCAACAAGATTTTTGGGGGTATGAGCTGTTGAGAGCCAAAGCTTCTTCCGTCAGAGACAAGTAGGGAGGGGAGATCCTGGAGCTCTTGCATCTCGGTCAGAAGGTGGAAGGGGGTGTGGCAAAGAAGGGAGTCAGGATACAAAGGTACCATCCAAAATGTAATCAGTTTGATTAGAGCAAGCGGGGAAATGCTTAGCGGCAAAAAATCAGCATCTGTAAGGATCCTCTAAGAACGTGATGACTGATGAGGGGGCCACTGGAGTGACTGCAGAATGGGGCTAAAAGGAATGCTCCACTGAGCTGTGGCATTTTTAGGGTTGCCATCCCCCTAACGGGTGTGGGCATTCCCCTGATTTCAGGCCCCCCAATCTGGCTGGCGGGGGAAGTCCTGCCCCCAAAGAGCTCTGTTGCGCCCACGTGCCCAGCATGATGATGTCACCCAGAGGTGTCACCATAGTGCAGGGCACGTTCTGCAGGGGGATGCTCTAGCATTTGGCCAAAAACTCTATGGTGACCATAGAGTTTTTGGCCAAATGCTAGAGCGTCCATTACACGACATGCACAGCATGATGACGTCACTCCGTAGCCAGGAGCCCCCCGCTGGCAGATGGTAGGCACTTAGCAACCCTAGCCACTTTGCACCACAGTCATCCCCGATCCAAGAAGCATTCAGGGAGAATCTGCACAAAGCAGCCAGTGCAGCTTGTGGACCTGCATCTACCCATTCCGAACTGAACAGATGTGTCTTCTGACGTAACTTGGAATCTGCAGCCCCACCCAGCGCCAGCAGTTGGGATACCCCAGGAAGTGCAGCCTGTCCAGGACACCTGAGTTTTGGTCTCAGAGGTTATGACCTGATGATCTGAGACTCGCCGCATGTAACTATTAAAATAATTGCTGAGTTCTTGCATCAAAGTAGGCACTTGGCTTCAGTGGTTTGGTCAGATCAAAACAAGAAGCAATCTTTTCGGCTCCAACCATTTTATTGAAAATTACAATCATTAGCCACGCGGGTAGGGGAACGGTAGTTTTGTAAGGCATCACCACAGAGGGCATAATTCTTCCACACGCTAGGGTGCTGTGTCTGCACACAGAGGGGTACCCGTAGGGTTCAACGGAGCCCTGTTCTGCCTCTCCCTCAGTACCCCGGAGCAACCCAAGGACTGGGATGTCTGTGCGCAGCTCCCTTTCCCCAAATGAGCCCACTTCCTTTCCATGCTGCAAGTTACTTGAGCTCTGAATATGGGAATACGGAGGGCATACCATTCCCCGCACTATCCTGGAATTCCGCCTGCATATGTGCTGGCGAAACGTGGGGGGGTTCCTTCCTATGTGTTCACTGCACCCTTGTGTGGGGAAGGGTCATGCCCAAAGGATATTTTAAAAAACCAAGAGTCCAAACAGGCATTTACCAGAATAGGGGAAAGACCTAAATGTAATACATTCTACTAACAAAGCCCTTAATAGTAATAACACTACCTAAAGTTGAATAGTTAATAACATCTTCCTAAGAATTCAAATTCCTCATCTGAGACAGAAGTTAGCTTTTAAAGAAGTGGCCCTAAGTGATACTAGAGAAATTCAGTGGTCATTAGTTTGTTACCTGGGAGGGATTACATGTCACACTGATGTATCCTGTCCAGCGCTTTTCACAGACGACTTCTGAGACGGAGGCCGTCTGGGGAGTTGGGATTTCATCGAAGTCTTGCTCTACAGGGACTGGTTAACTACGAGGTGCTTTTCTCAAAGCATTCCCTGGGGCTTTTCACTTCTTCTTCTTCTTCTTGCCTTTCTTTGCTTCCTTCTTTTTGTCCTTATCCTTTCCCTTATCTTTCCCCTTCCCTTTCCCTTTCCCAGTTTCTTCGGTCGCCGTCAGGGACTTGATGCGTGCTTTCCCCAGAGGAGTTTTGGCGTACCAAGCCTAGAGAATCACACGGAATAATATTTTTAAAGGGGCTTGAAGGTAGGCAAGTAACATTTTCTTTCCCCTTTCTGAAACAGACCTTTCCTTCCAAGAATGTTAATTGCAGGGGGGGGGGCCCCCTCATAGGGAAGCACATCACACACTCTGGGCTCCTGAGAACGCTGTTATCACAAGAACAGTAGCAATCATCTGCTTGAAGTGGCTCATTAACATGAATACGGAGCTGTGGAACTTCAATGGCTATAGTTACGATAGCATTACAATTTCTGTGATCAGCCCTGTTTCCCAAGGTATATAACTCCAGGCGAACATTTGATATTTTGAAATGTGGCAACGCAGCGAGATGCGCAATTGAGTTGGGTCATCTTGATTTCAATGGGGGGAAATGGTTAACTGCTTTGTTGCAGAAATTTCTCAAGTGGGGTGCCTGATGTTGCTCGAGGAATACAGATGTGAAACGTGACAGAGACCTGGAAGACTTGGGTTCACATCCCTGCTCGGTCATGGGGCCTCTTGTGGCCCAGCGTACCTCACAGGGCGGTTGTGTGGATGAAATGAAAGGCCACTCTAGAGGTCCTTGGCGGAAGGGTGGGATATATATGAAATGAACATGAAGAAGAAGAAGAGACTGGATTTATACCCCGCCCTTCACTACCTGAAGGACTCTCAGCGCGGCTTACAATCTCCCTTCCTTTCCTTTCCCTGTGAGGTAGGTGGTGCTGAGAGAGCTCTTTCGAGAACTGCTTGCGAGAGAACAGCTTTGAGTCAACTTATGAATGACCCAAGGTCACACCAGCAGCTGCATGTGTAAGAGCGGGGAATCAAACCCGGTTCTCCCAGATTAGAGTAACCACTGAGTGCTGATAGAGGCCTTGGATGGAATGAAAGGCAAAACAGTAGCTGCTTCCAGTCTCATAAGCCTGAGTAAACGATACAGGGAGAAGAGACAGGCACAGCACGAAGATGGAAAGTGGGTGTGGTGGACATTGCATTTGCCGCATTTCTATGCCTTGAATCAGGGGTCGTTTCGTAGAAAAAGAGCTAGGGGAACTCATTAGCATAACTCATTGGCATATGCCACACCCCCTGACATCACCGGAAGTGTGTCATAAGGCCACACCCCCTGACATAACCGGAAGTGTGTCATAAGGCCACACACCCCGCCCCCAACGGTCCCGGCCGCCACCGCCGGCCTTGCAGCTCCACTGCTGAGCCCCATGAGGGGCCCGGCGGTGGACCTGCAAGGCCGGCGGGAGTGCGAGGAAGCCCTGTGAAGGCCCTCCCTGGCCCCAGGTAGGCAGGGGTGGGGAGAGGCAGGGAGGAAGCAACTTACCCTCCCTCTTCTCCTGCCTCCTCCTGGCTGAATGAGGGCCGGAAGCAGGGGGCGGGGCTTCGTCATGTGCCCCGCCCCCGTACCTCACCCGGGGGAACTGCGATCCCCCGCGTTCCCCCCCCGAAATGACCTCTGCCTTGAATTAAAGTGAGGAACTACTCATCATGGATTGCCTGAACATCTCCAAAGGAGAGGTAAGTACTGGCCATGATTTACTTTCATTTATGTAACACTTACATAGCACAAAGTGCTCTAGAAACTTTATCTTGCTTAGCCGGTCAAGTGCCTTGTAGTCATTTGGTGTATTCCTTCTAAGGGCCTCGTCACCAGCTATGGAGTAAATACATAGTAGGGGCAGGAGGCTTGATCCAATTTGTCAATAATCCTTTTTTTTTTTGCACCAGTGTGCAACGTCTGTACGTTAACTGCAATGGTGGGGATGCTGGAAATCAAGAGATCGCAGTCCCTCAAGATCGGGGTGGGGTTCCAATCAGTGCACCCACACTGCACATGCTGCCACAGCATGTGGGTGAAAGACAGTGGATATCCAATGTCTCTCTGTTGCACTCAACACACATGCACCATATGCAAACATCGGGCCAATGCATGGGGGGTGAGGCAAAAGTAGAGGTGTAGAGTAGAGATGCATGTGAAGACACAGATCTGTGCTGTGTTTGGTTACTGTGTTTAATAAATGTGAGAGGAGGCCCCAGGGCAAACTAGTTTGTGAATGTACTGTGGAAAAGGAACAAACATGGGCGCGTTTACACACATTGAATAATGTGCTTTCGGTCCGTTTTCAATGCACTTTAGTGATTACTTGCAAGTGGATGTTGCTGTTTTACACAGTCAAACCCAGTTGCAAAGTGCATTGAAAGTGAATTGAAAGCACATTATTCAGTGTGTGTAAAAGCACTGATAAACTCGATTTAATGAAGGGAAAAAAGGAAGCCACTTTTTTTTTTTAAGCAGGACTTTACCTTAAACGTTTCTTCTTCCTCTTTGTACACTGGGTCCTGCCTGGCTAGAGGGCTCAGGAATTCAGCCGCTGTCAACGGTTTCTTGATCAGTTGCATCAGGCGTCGTTCAGTTAGGACTGCTTCGACTGCATTCACTATGCGCCCTTGAGTGTAACCGTCGGACACCTGCGCCAGGCAGCTGAAGTTCAGCTGTTTTGTAAGGAGCCCCCCGTTTTGCTGAATGATGTGTTTCCACAAAACTGTTTTGTTGCCATCAAGAAAAACAAACAACAAAGCCAGACAAATATTAATAGACTGGACATTAGGGAACCTGCCTTTGTTAAATTTGTACAACAGTATTATAATTCGTTTTATTTTTCATTATTATAGGTGGAATAGTCAGATTGTTGGATTAGGACGCAGGAGACCCCGGGTTCAAATCCCTGCTCACCCTTGAGGTCACTAGGTGAGCCTGGGCCAGTCACTCCCTCTCGGCCAGATATAAGAATAAAACTGAGGAAGAGAGAACCTCGTAAGCCACCTCGAGCTCCTTGGAAGAAGAGAGGTGTTAAATAGTGGGTTCCATGGATGAACAGACCGCAAGCCTAGTAATCAGTTCTACTTTATTAGTGATTTCAGCAAGCACAAGACAAGACTCCAGAGCCTCAGCTCTGTTAAATAGCATCCAATTGCCACACCCAAACACACCCCACTCCCAGTGGTAGGCTATTTACATAACATTACTACTAGACTGGTTACTTTCAGAATCCTGGCAGGCTATTGTTCTTTTGCTCTAAGCTCAGCCAGTCTCTGGGGTGATTCAAACAGGAATGAATCAATCCCAGTACATAACAGGAGGGATAAAAAAATGGGGTAGTCAGATATATTATAGTTGTCTGAACCAGCTTTATGAAAGGACGAGATCACGGTATCAACAAACAAATATTTTCAGGACACTCTGGAGTAATGAATGCTAATGATTCATGCAGCCAATCAAGAGCCAAACTGTATCTTACAGCTGGGCATGGGCCAATTTGCGGCTGCCAATGCCATTATAGATGGGAATTTAGCACTTTAACAAAATTGCTGCAAGGGTCCAGTCCTGATCAGAACCATGAGGCTTCAGCACCGCATGATCTTGTTTCCCACTCATGCCTTTTCAAGGGCCAAAACAGCCCGCCACCCCCATGACTATTGTTATGTACGTGGACCGCCACCAGGGGTCCGCAGCTAAATCAGGAGCTTGGTTCCCAAACACAAAGGGGACCTAGGATCCTAATCCACCTCGAGTCCACCAATAGCACCCTTGGCAGGAAATTCAAACCCTCCTATGGGGACAGAGGTGTGCCGGGTGGAGTGTATATAGTTGGCCTCGCAGGGCCATTTTGTGTGTCTTGTTGTGAAGTACAATAAACGTGTCTGAACGCATGTCGTGGTCTGAGTCCTCCATGCGTCGAACCCAGTACTTTTTCAAGTGTGTTCCGGCTCTTTTTTGCAACGACTCCCTCCCGCTTCAGACTCCCAGTCTGAACTCAGACAGAGATCAGGACCCGGAGCACCTTCCTTTCTACGGCTGATGCTCTCCCTTTGTTGTGTAGATTGCCACTCTCAGAGAATGTTCCTTCCTTCCTGCCACTCTCAGAGAATCTTCCTTCCACACGCTTCTCCCTTTTGCACCTTGAGGGCAGGACACACACCCCGCATCTCCATCCATCCTGGCTTCTTAGACTAGATTAGAATCCTGTCCCTACTTTGTGCTGGCAACAATTGAGTCTTCAAGGCAAGAGACGTTCAGAGGTGGCTTGCCATTGGCTGCCAGTTTGGTGTAGTGGTTAAGTGTGCGGACTCTAATCTGGGAGAACCGGGTTTGAGTCCCCACACCTCCACTTGCACCTGCTGATGTGACCTTGGGTCAGTCACAAGCTCTGGCACAGCTGT